GTGTGCGTGTGCGTGTGCGTGTGCGTGTGCGTGTGCGTGTGCGTGTGCGTGTGCGTGTGCGTGTGCGTGTGCGTGTGCGTGTGCGTGTGCGTGTGCGTGTGCGTGTGCGTGTGCGTGTGTGTGTGCGTGTGGGTGTGGGTGTGTGTGTGTGTGTGTGTGTGTGTGTGTGTGTGTGTGTGTGTGTGTGTGTGTGTGTGTGTGTGTGTGTGTGTGGTGTGTGTGTGTTGTGTGTGTGTGTGTGTGTGTGTGTGTGTGTGTGTGTGTGTGTGTGTGTGTGTGTGTGTGTGTGTGTGTGTGTGTGTGTGTGTGTGTGTGTGTGTGTGTGTGTGTGTGTGTGTGTGTGTGTGTGTGTGCGTGCGTGCGTGCGTGCGTGCGTGCGTGCGTGCGTGCGTGCGTGCGTGCGTGCGTGCGATGTGATGTGATGTGATGTGATGTGATGTGATGTGATGTGATGTGATGTGATGTGATGTGATGTGATGTGATGTGATGTGATGTGATGTGATGTGATGTGATGTGATGTGATGTGATGTGATGTGATGTATATGTGATGAAAATGTGATGAAGATGTGATGTCATGTGAAGTCATGCCATGTGGTGCTTGGCTGAATGGAGGCTTGTGGTTCTAGTGGTGATGACCATTTTGAGTGAAGGAACTTGTTTACCCTTCCTTTCCTCTGGAGCTCGACAGAGAAGACTGCCTTGGCCTTTTCAATCAGTTTAACTGCAGGAATTTGCGATTTGCAGACCCACTGAAATCAAAGCAGAGAGCCGGACTGTCCTTGAAGAGCTGGCAACTTATTAGCTTCTGATGCTTAAACTTCAATTGAATCAAGGGCTGCCGTGCCCAGCATTTGTTTCCTCGGCCCTCAACTGTGCATGGTGGCCTCAAATCGTCAAGTGGATGCAAGTTTCACCGCCAAACGGTTTCATCTGATGAAAGCAGAACAAGGGCGACACAAGCAAATCGCTACAAACGCACTGCCTCCCAAGCATCTCTCATCTGTTTGTCAAACACACCTTAGTGCTGTTGGATTCCCTACATGACTTTAGACCAGCGCGTTCTGGCCTGGGGTTGCGAGCCAAATTCTGAGGATCTTCTGCCTGACAAAAGGCTCTATCAAAATTAGGAACCTTTCAAATGGGTGGTTGCATTCTGGTCTCATTTTGACAACGTCCCAAAAAAGAGTGCTTAGTCTTGACACCTAGACACGTTGCCCCTCACATGATTTGGTGGTAAAGTACCCCACAGCCTCATTCTAATTGCTTGAACCACGCAAACAATTTCAGTCTACCCCCGGATTAAACCAAAAAAACATTGTTTGGAGGCCAGCGAGATTCCTTGCTCCTGTCAAACCAACTGGCCTCGTGCAGGACCATCGCAGCTTTCCTGGGGAAAGAAATGGAATGTGTGAAAACTCTCATGCTTTAGGGCCACTATTGTTCGAACAAATCAGGGAGCTTTCAGGAAGCAGGAATCTTTCTATCTGATTCTTTTCCCGGTCCGCCACAAGGAGATTCCTCTGCTAAAGCTTCTGTCTCCAGAATGAATGTTACTTCCACCAACGAAAGTGCCGGCTCCTCAAACAATCCGCAATTTCAGGAATATCTGGTTTCCTGTCAAAACAAGTTGTGTTCTCCCAAATTCTTCACCCGTCCTGTACGCATCGAGCTCGTGCAAGGGCTTAGTCAAGTCGCCCTGGCAAGGGGTCAGTGGAACCTGGGCCAACCTCTGACGCTTCAGCTTTTTGGTGGGTCTGTGTCAGTTGACAGGGATTGGAATCCAAGCCAGATCGAATTCTTAGGATGCAGCCATCTTGTGTTTCCGGTTTTGCGGTTGAAATCGATCGCTCCGTCTCGTACCGACTGAAAAAGGAGTTCGAACTGAACCTGATACAAACCCCAAATGGCGGCGCAAGTTTGGTTTTGTCTTGACACTCTTTCTCAGGACCCAACGGAGAGAACCATGTGCAATGCAATCCCGGCCGTTTTGAAGTCCGCGGTCCAACTTGCGCGGGTCCCAAACGAAACCGCGCATCTAACCCGCTTTCACAGACAGATCCCTCGCTTTGGCGATTCTCCCCGGGCCGTCCTCCATAGCACTTGCGCCTCGCTCTTGCAGGAACCTTGGCGTGTTTGGCCAACCCAGCCAGCCAAACGTTGCCCTAGGCATCCGTGTTGGTTGGAGAGGTCCATACCCTCCCAACCAACCCAAGTTGAATAGTTGAATAGAGGCATACCGTCCGCTTTGGGTGAGGTTTGGAAGAGGAATCAAGCCACACAAAACACAGAACCCTCTGCACCCCGCGAAGGCCATCTCCGGCCCTCTTGCGGGCAGGTGACCATTTTTGGGCGGCACGAAAAGAGGCGGGTCTGAAGAGGTTTGCAGGTCTCAAGAAGGACAACGGCGGGTAAAACCATGACCAAGAAATGGTGGTCAAGAGCCAATCCACCAGATCTCGAAAGTGATCTTAAGCCCCTCTCCCCAAAAAACGGACCTGAACGTGACCACTTGCAAAAGCGGCTCATGGAAAACCCGAAAACCGCTGCGAGCATGTCGTGAACTGGGCGTCGGGCTCAGTGGCAGAGTGAAAGTCCCCTCGAACCTCAAGAATTGCATCAACAGAGTTCCCTCCCCCCCTCCCCCCCCGCGTTTCACCCAAGGCGAAGGGTGATGAACTTAAGACAACTTAAAACAATCCAAGAGGGACTAAGCGGGATTCACACTGAGGCGGATCTCTCAGCCCAACCCATCCATGGGAAGCCGATCGATTTTGAACTCGCTGGATCGCCTGATGTGTTTTTCCATGTGACTGGTTCTTAAGGTAAAGCGTCCGGCAAAAAGGCAGCAACTTGGCTGTATATATCTCGGCAGTTTTTAGTGTTTAGTGTTTTTTTTCTCGGAAACCATGTCAGATGTGGTTGAGCCGCACTCGCCAACCAGATCTGGAAAGCGCCAACCGAGCCTCGGGCGAATCTGGGCAGTGACCGCAAGCCTCTGCACACCTCATCCTGGAACAGCTGCGCATACCTGGCACTTTGACTGAGAGGTCCAGAGGGCAACTTCTTTTTTCCTTTTTTTTCTGATAAGAAATGCCCAAGCTGCCCCTCTCTTGCGTGGCACCAGACAAATTGGCCCCACGGCCACGGCAGGTGCTGCTGGGCAACCAAACTGGCTAACCCGCAACTCAGAAATCAGCCCAGGCATCCCCAGCCCCTCCCAACCCGGCTTGCCCTGAAAACCCAGGCCCAAGCTGAAAGCTCCGAACGGAGCTCATATCGGCGGAGACCAAGCCTTCAGAGAAAAAAGTTCATGCCCATCTGGTGTATCAGCCTTGGGGGGTAAAACAACCCCGGATGGGTTTAAAGCCAACATGGCGTGCGCCCAAAAAAATTGGCTTGGTGTCCCTTCCCCCTTTAAGCCAAGCTCGAAAACGGTTACCGCCGAAAAAAGAAATCGACCTCCCCCGCCTGGACGTCTGTTTTCTCCAGGAGGAGCGTGGGGACGGTGACCCCACCGGCGACAGGTGGTGATGCATTGCCCCGATTCAGGGCAAAAAAAGCACGGGGTTTTGGGTCTGGGCTGCCCCTTGGGGGCCTTGGAAGCTTTCTACACGGGTGGTGTGCCTGGCTCCTTTTAGAAGTTAAGGGCTTTTCCAAGCATGTTGCACTGCAGCTTGATCCAATTCGAATGATTGGTGCCTCGCAGTGGATGACAGCAGGTGCAACAAAAACATGGGTTTCCTGATGGTTTTGGGCTGTGAAGCTGTGCCAAACCCGGAAAACAGGCCCGCATGAGTCAAAATCAAACCAAAAGCAGCAGTGAAGAATCCAAAAAGCGCATATCTGCGTTGGTTTTCGGTCAAGGGGGCCATCCCCAGCTACCTTCCCGTTTTGCAGGTTTTGCTTTCTCACATGCGGATCACGCGGTGTTCCTCGCGCGTTGGAAGTGTAACAGCTGCGGCACACAACACATCCTGAGACTGGGGGATACTTAGGAGGTCAAGAAGCCTGGTTACAACCCACTCAACGTCAACTTGCGCCACAGGCAGAGGGCTCTTCCACCCTTCAAGTCGGGGTGGCTGGAGTTCTCTGGCTTTTTGAAGCTTAAGGGAAAATCCCTTGAGCAACTTCCAGGCCAGTCTCTCGCGAATCCTGCATGCCGCGCGAAAATCGGCGCAACTTGCGCCGAGAAAAATGAGAAGGGGAGGGGGGGGGGGGTTTGGCAGCAGGGCCCTGTACACGCTACCTGCCCTTCCTGCTGTACTGATGGCCCCGAAGTCCGGATTGAGAGGCGGAAACACAGCGGCCTTTGGTGGATCGGATTTTTGATAAGTGTGACCAGCGACCAAAGTGGAAAAGGTTGATTGATGATGATTCATGTTGCTTGCATTCGCTGGACATTCGGTTCCGAGGCGTCTTCAGCTCAGGTTCGGAGGCACCTGGGTGAGATAAATGGCCACCTCATTGGTGCGAAAGCATGGCGGTGTGAAGGGCGGGTTGTAGCCGAAGAACTCCCACTTAGGCTCCTGGCTGATCATTGCTGTAGGGAAACCACAGAGTGAAAGCTTTGCCCCAAGCGTGTGCAAGTGATGTGTGTGTGTGTGTGCATGTCTGCTCACACTTGTAATTACTGAAGCATAATTGTGTGTGCACCTGTGTATATGTTCATGACTAAACATATGCTCGACTGGTGCTTGCACATGAAAGCACGAATATGAATTATACACACACACAAAGCACACCATCTAAACTGTGCACGTGAATGTCACCTTCCATCAATTCGCACCAGTGCCAATTCCAATGCCATCCTTTGCATATCTTCGCCCAGGTTACCTGCCCCTCATGTAAAACCTGGAGGGCAAGTCCAGGTGTCTTGCTTTGATTTATGCCCCCCAAGTTTGCAAACATTCAATGTACATCATGAGTGGTGGAATGTCGATATAGCTTCCAGAAGGCCCACATGGAACCAGTGTTTTACAGCTATGAACTGCCAGGAAGGTCCATGAGAGGTCAACATTGCTTTTCTCCAAAGAGGGCACGCGATTTTTCTGCGAGCCCCCTGGTGTTTGAAAATAGCTCTCTTTTTCCCCAAAAAAACCATCTGGTAACATTTTGAGTCCGAAGCCAACTGCGTGGCCTACTCCATCCCCTTCTGCGCTCCTTGGTCGCCTCGTCAATTTCAAAGCTCACGTCGCTGGCCGCTTTGATCTGCTGCACCAGAGTCTGCACCCGGCTCTTCGCATCCTAACTTGTCTGTTCCAAACTCGGGGAAAACCGAAACCACATTGACATATGAGGTCACGCTTATTTGGTGGTTCGGATCGGTGGTTTGAGGATTTGAGCCCCTGGTTCTTTTGATTGGAAAGCGTTTTTCTTAACCTCCAAACCACCAAACTATGAAGAATACATTTGGCCTTCAAACCTACCCACGCTAGGTTGGAAACAATCTACCCAACATGAAATATCTTTGACCTGCCAAAAGGATATCTCTTTTTAACAGAGCCCTTTTTGGGGTTCCAGTCTCTACGCTGCAACAAGCGCCTACATGGAGTGCCTACGCATATTTTTTTCTCACGCTACGTTCCATCCCTATCAACAAGCTTGCGAACCTGCCTACGCAGGATTTTCTTCAACAGCCTGCGCTGACTGCATACATGAATCGTTTCCCCCACCGGTGCCTACATAAAAGGAGTTCCCCCCGAATACTAAGCGATTACTTAGCAAAACAAACTCTGCTCAAAGGAGATTCCAACAAAAAGAACATTTACTTGACCCTTTTTCGGAGTACAGGGGATGGTTTTGCTTCCAAAGCGAATCACCTTGGAATCTCCCGGTCCTCTGGGCCGGAGCGCCCGGAGAATGTGCTCACCAGTGCCAGGCGTGCGGGGACCTGGAGGAATTTTGCGGGGCTCGCCCGCATGTTTCCTGAAGACCTGACCTCAGCACAGTAAAATGTTTCGAAGAAATGCAGACCTTGACCTTGAGGCCAAGTGATCAACACCACCAACTGGTTCAAAGTGTTGGTTCCCTTGGCCATCCGGCAAGAGAAGGAAACCCAAAAGGGCCTCGGGCAAGAGGTTCCGCCTGGCGGTGTTGCAAGGGTCTACACTTTGGCAAAATACAAAGACAAAAACCACCTCCAGCTGTTTCAATGGGGTTCTACTGTACTCCCCTGTAAATGTTCACATGGGGTTTTGCAACAATCTTGAGGGTCCGGGACCCCATTTGGGGAGATTCTGGAAATGATGGGTTATCTGGATATGAACATCTGCAGCAGAGTAACTCCTAGGTGTATCTTAGGGACCTTGTGGTGTTTTGCTTAAACCCGGAAATTCGGACGGGCAGAGAGGGAAACCAAAAAAGAATCACCCGCATGGGTGGTGTCTTTGATTTGGGCAAACCCACAAAACGGGCCCACAAAAAAAGAGCCCATTTGGGTTCTGCTGCCCACCTTCTCGATGGTCACGCGGCTATCCAATGGCTGTGGTGGGGCCTGCCCAGCGTCCATGTACTTGGAGGGCAAAATGAAGCTCATGGTCCTGGTCGCTTTTTTGGGGGGGTGGAGGGGTGGGCGGAGGGGGTAGGGGCTTTGGGCTTGGGGTTTTGGGTTTGGGGGTTTTCAAAGGGGCAACAGGGGGAACGCTTTTTTTTGGGAGGTTCCCTGCTGAAGGGGAAACAACGGAAAACGGGCCTGGTGTTTTTGGGTTTCGGTTCGCCCCCCTTTTGCTTGCTTGTTAGAAGGGAAAACAAGCTGAAAACCAACCTGTTGCATCGCCCCTGGACCTATTTGAGTTCAATCGGGAGGGACCCGTTTTGAGAGGAACCCCCGCTGTCGTTGTTTAACGGAGACGTGAGGAAAACCAACCATGTTACTCTGCGGAGCATAGGTTAAGAAAGTCATGGAATATCCCCAATCTGGCGGCGGGTTGCAATGGAACAAAATTCACTAAAATGCAAGAACACCCCAGTCCTTTCGCTCCCGGATCCCATCACCACAGGAGCTGTCATGTCGATCTTCTCGCTGGAGGTCATCACCACCGGAGCCTGAATTGTTCAATGGGGGTTCCTCATCCTTCTCGAGCATCCGGCAGGCGTAAGGATTCACAGTAAAAGGGAGGGGGGATCTGGAAAAAAGTGCGGTGATCATATACCACCTGGCGTAGGGCAGGGTTCCTCATATTTCTGTTCTAAGGAAAACTCACCTCACAAGGGGCCCTAAAGATGACGATTGAAACTACAAGCACGGGAAATTTTGGGCCGCCCTGCAAAGATAACGCATTGGCTCATGTTCAGCAATGCAAGGAGCAGTCATGGCGATCTTCTCACTGGAGGTCATCACCACCGGAGCAGTCATGGCGATCGCCTCGCCGCCTGATGCCAGGGTTCGGCTTGGTGCCCTTGTTTAGATGTCTTGGTTTCCCTTTCGTTTCAACATGTTGGATGTCTTTTGGGTTGTCCTTTTTTTCCCTTTTGGTGTCCCTTTTGTTCCAAGGGGCCAGGGTCTGTTTGTGCTTGCCTTTTTCGCGCAACCAGCGCCTGACGCGTTGGCCTTGTTCTGGGGCGTGGTGAACACACCAATATACTTGGCCAGAGTACGGAAGGCCGCGTTCGAGAACTCCTGCGAAGGGTTAATAAGGTTTTTGGGTGTGTTTTATATAAAGGAGACCAAAAGGCAAGCAACATTTTGGGAGTTCTCCTGGTTTGACTGTTGTTTCACCAAAGTCTCTCGGAAAATGCAGCAGCTTGGCTATCCAATTGGGAAAAGTGGAACCAACCCCGGTCCGGAGTAATCCGAAGTTGGCATCAGAGCCGAATTACTTGAAATGGGGCTGCGCGATTTGGTACCGGAGAAAAAACAATTCTGCGCAAACAAAATTTGGAGGCATCCCGCAAGCCGAGATGTCGATCCCATGAGGTTGTTTCTTACAGAGCAATGGGAACCCAGAATGAGAAAGCCGTGTTTGATTACGGGGTTATTCATGTTGGGTAAATTAGTCATGGTCATAAGAGAAGCATCGTGCGGGATACCAACCGGTGAAAACAAGGCAGAGGAAGGTGGGGGAAAATCCACTCGTAGACAAAGCCCGCATTGTCCACCACTAATTATGCACTCGGCTCTAAAATCAGCGGTTGACCCCATCGGTGAGTTCGAAAATCGCCCACCTTTGAACCCTTTTCTGTTCTTGCCCACCAAACAGGGAGTTTGAGGGAATCCTGAACAGTCGGGTTACCACACCCCTATTCGTTCCTAAACCCAAACAACATGTCGGGGAAAAAGAAAACCTATAATCCCACTAAGGTCGGAATAACAAATTGGATGGAATTCCCGCGAGTTCAGAAACTGACTTTCTAGGACTGCCTCCTGGGTGCCGGCTTCTGGATAGCCAGCGGAAGACACCTTGGCCACAAACTGGGCCGCATATTCCCGGCACTGCAAACCCGCCAGTGTGCCCAGCACCTTGTGCTTGGGGGTCTCCTCTCCTAACAAGGCTGTGGGAAATGGCCACTTCTATGAGACAACAGAAAGGGCTTCCCAAAGACATAAACCCCTTGATCCCACAACCCCGATCTACACATAAGCCCTCGATGGGTGCTGTCATTGGCCTTGGATGCACATTGGTTTTAGGGCCAGGCCCTTTGAGGTAACCAAACTGCGAATTCACAAACAGTCACTAGCATCCTGAAAACCCCCTTCGGGAACCTAGCCAGCCGCTCCGAACGACTCCAAAACTTTCAGCGATTGGGAAAAAGGGAAACTCAACCTCGCCGGCTTTGATTCTCCAAATGCACATGGAACCACAGCAAATCTTGAAAGAATCTGCGTTTGGGGGCGATAGCCCATGCGATTCCAACAAAGGTGTGAGCAGCCTCGGCTGGCCGTTCCTCAAACAAGGAACGGGCACGGACAAGCTGATCTAATGCCCGCCGAATCTTGGGGGCACACCTTGGAGGGCATGTTTGTGAACTTCACCCCAAAAAATGCACCCCGCAGCAGGTCAAAACACGGTGCCTACAAAGAAGACAACCAATCGCACGAAAGCATAATTCATCGAAGGGAAACCACACAGTAGCTCGGCAAGTAGGACGCGCAGGTGCTGACAGTGACATCAGGATACGTAAGAAAGCAGTCAGCCCTCCACAAAGGCCAAAAAAGCTCTTGTCCTTCGCGGCTCTTGCGCGTCGAGGGCACAACCAAGTACCAAAAAAGGTCGGCCCAACCAATCCACGCAGAGGGCCGCGGGGGCTACGAAAAATAGCCGAGTTTTGGAGGGTGGACCACCCGATCCACGCAAAGGGTCGCAATCCTGAGCAGCGTGCCCCTTCTCAATCAGCTTGAAATTACGAAGGAATTATGCATGCAACTTGTTCAAAGAAAGTTCTGAGAGCAAGTTTCTCCAAGCAAGTCAGTGAGAAAGTCTCTGAGCAAGGTTCTCTGAGCAATTGTCTCTGAGCAAGATGCCTCAGCAACTTCTCTGAGCTCTGAGCAAGTTCTCCGAACAAGGTTAGAAGGACCCTTCGCGATCTTGGGATCTTGACTGGGAAATAAAAGGATAACATCTTGGGATCTTGACCAAAGCCAGTCCACCGGGAAATCAGAAGGTCTTCGTGCAACTGAGTCTCGGATCACCCCAACCATCATCCCCATGGCGCGAATTGTTCTACACCGAAATCTGTCTGGAGGCTATGCTTCCGACTTCCCCACGCTGGTTGCTTCTTCGACCTGATTTGCTGCACCCCCTTGAACTGAAGATCTGCGCTTTCGGAAAGCTGGCTCGGCTCACAATACCTGCTTGTTGAGGAATCCCAAAGGCGCAAATGGGTGTAAACTTGATTTGGCTGCCCTCTAGCGTCCACCAACTATTTGAGACATGACCCTTCGTAGGGCCCTATAGGGTCCTGTTGGGGTGCGGAAATCCAACCAGCTCGTGTCCCAGTAGACTGTCAGACTCCCATTTCTCCAACTCGCGCAGGGGGCTTGCCGATCGAAAACTCAAGGGTTCTGATACAAGTGCGCACATGCGTTAAGCAATGGCCAGCCATAGTGTCGACCGGATCGCTCGACATTAGCAAGGAGCATAGCGATGGATCTTGTGTCCTTGAGAGGCTCCGAGGAGACGATCTTTACATAAATCCCAGCCTGCAAGTTTTTGTCGCGTGCTGGTGATTGATCACCTCAAGTGCTCACTCAAGACTGAGGGATATGTGGGATGTTCAAACGAGTAGTGGAAATTGACGGCCCTAAGGAATATCCCTCCCCCACAAAGGCTGGCACCCGGAACTGTGGAGTGCCCGTCTGAAACGAATTCGCTCGCTCTCTCATTTGAGGATTCCCGCATCAAGGCGCATGCTGAGCGGATGGAATCCGTGAAAGGCTTTGGACGAGGAACTGGTCGAGAGTCGGAAGGGAGGAATACACCCACCCTCATGCACTGTTATCCCCCCTCCTTTGCAAGAGATGCTAAGTAGAAGCATTGATCCGCGTGTGACCTCCATTTAAATCAAAACCACGAAATCACCTCTTTCGCAAAATGGGAGGGCCAATGTCGCAGCACTCAGCTTCTAGTTCGGCAGCAAGGACACCTGACCAGGTAAGTTTGTGTCGATGTCGTCCACCCCCAAACCTCTATTCCAGTGTTTAATACGACATTAACGCACGAAACAAAACCACAATGTAAAGGGCATCCCGTTGCGGGGGGAGAAAAAGCAAAAACAAAAAACGTTTACTGGGACACCCCCCCCCCCCAAGCATCTGGGATTTCTCACTGGGCACCCAACTGACAGAACATCAAAAAAGGGTTGCCCCAAACAAAAAGACACATCCATATCTAGGGAATCAACCGTTAGTGTGTCCTTACAGTCCTTACAAATACCTTTTGCTCCACCCCGCCTGCTCCCGGCTCAAGTCCGTGTGCAGCGACAAACCATGCAGGTCCAGCCGGCCCTCCCCATCCTGTTGATCAAAACTTTCTTGCTGATCATGCGGAGTGCTAGAGAAGTCCCCTTGGGTGTCCCTCAGCTGTTTAGCACACAGCTTCCCGACAAATCTCAAGGAAAGACCCAGATCAGCAAGAACCTTGGTGGTTTCCAGATAGAACGACGGTGGGGAAGCGGGGCATATAACTTTAGAACCTTTCACATTCCAAATTCTCAAACCAAGTCGCGAAGCTCTTCTCCTTGTTCTCCCCCGTTTGCCAGAAAAGCGTGCGCGGAAAGACTGGCAACCAGAATAAGAAGCGCAACAAAACCCGCCACCAAAAGCGACGAGCAAAGCATTCGCATATGCGTTTGTCCGCGCGGCTCGCATCACAGCAAGAACGAGGATCTTCGCCCGTGAGGGTCGTGATAGCTTTGTTTGATGCTAGTGATGCTAGTGATGCAGGTGATGCTGGTGAGGCCAGAGAGGTTGGTGATGCACGACATGTTGGTGATGCACGACATGTTGGTGATGCACGACATGTTGGTGATGCCGACAATGCTGCGACGCAAGACATCCTGGTCAAACCCATGCAAATCAATCTACACACAAGGCTTCCTAACATCATCCGCACGATGCACAGCCAGCGCCACTGCTCCAAAGGACCCCATCGGTCGCGGTTGCGCATGCTGTTTGTATTTGAAGGTAAGATGTTGATTTCGTCCTTACGCTCTTTCCGTTCAAACGCAAACCCTCAAGAGCTGCCATGGCTGGTTGCACGTGAGCAACGAAAGTCCTCATCAGCCTCTCCAAACTGCATCATCAGCATTGAGATGTTGGGTCCCCCCAATTTCGTGTTGCTTCACGGCTGGTGACAGGGATGACAGGGAACACTTGGGGGTAATTTACTGAGGAAATAGTCCGAAGCATTTGCAATCTGAAAACAAGCTGACTGCGGCAGCTTTCCATACCCCTGCCCATTAGCGGAGCAAAGCGAATTTGTTTCGGATTTGTTGATGGTTAGGGAGTGGGCCTCTCAGCATTACTTCAGGCTTTTAGACGGTTTGCTGGGATCGTCCGGTGGCTTGCATCATCACCTGTGCCTCAGGCAAGTTTCGTGATGGAGAGCGTCAACAAACCTCACCTGTTGCTGAAACAACTTCCTTCTGGTTCCCCTTTGCCTTCTTTTTCAAGGCCACCTTTGTCGTCTCCTTCTCAAAAGGCTCCGTTTTTGGGCATTGTTTTTGTTCAAGAGGAAGCTCACTTCTTAAAACTACTACCGCTATCCTCCTAAGACACCTTCCCAACACCGGTCCCAGCCAATGTTCGCTGTTTCCACCGTCCTCAAATTCCTCCAGCGGCGAGATCTGGCGGCTGCCACCGCAGGTGGAGGAGACATCCGAGCTGGTGTCCGCGATTCTCTCCTTCAGCTGCAGCTCCTTGTTCTTCCTCAGACAAAATGGAAATAAGATCTGAATAGACCCTTTGTGGAAATCATTTAGGATTTATGTCCAACAAAAATGGTTGGGGGAATTCCCTATTCAATTTCATGGCCAAGTAGCAGTGCTTTGAAGGGCGGCCCCAGACCGTGTCCCCAGTTCTGACTAAGTTTGATTTTGACCCAGCCCAATCAATTGAGGGGATCCGGATCGTTTTTACAGGAACCCCCCCCCCCCAAAGGGCTTGATTATTCTGAGATCGACAGGGCCACAAACTGGAGAAACAACTCCTATGCGTGATTTACATTCAGGCGTTATTGAAACTAAAATCGGATCCCTAACTCCAAAGGCCTCAACGTCCCGCCATGTGTCTTTCTTTGGAAAGATCAAGTGGCATCTTCAAAATGCCCTCCTTGGTAGGTTTCTGAGGCATTCGCAAAATGGGGGGGACGCTGAGAGAGAAATCCAGGCGTCACCTCTAGGGCCGCCTGGGCGTAGCCCCCGTACATGGTGGCCACCATAAAGCCGGCCACCATGGACCAGGCGTTCTCCACCTCCTGGGAACATCGAGAAAAACCGCCTAGGGCCTAGGATGGGTTGGGACACCAGCGCGAAGGGGGAAGTTTGGGTTGAGGGGTTGAAACCACATGGAAGGAGCAGCTCACAACACGGTTCGGCTTTTCGTTTTGCAAAAGAACGAGTGATCTAAAAACGATCTTTGTTGAAAATAAATATAAACATTTGCACGTTAGAGAGTGCCGGCACGTTGGCCGTAAAATCGTAGCAGCTGAGCACAGCCAAGCACGGATGACTGATGAGCAGCTTACACAAAACCTGCAATGTGTTTGACCTGTTGGGACAAATATAGACAAAATAATCGTGGTGATTAACAGAATTGAGTCTGGTCAACAACAAACCTTGGTTGTGCAATTTCACGTTCGACGAATTCAGTTCAGCCAATTTAGAGATGAGTAGAACGATCTGTACCGCTGTTTACGCTATTGCTGATGCGGAAATATGTCTTGCCGTCCAAATAGTGATTACATTAAGCATAGAAAATCACAAAATGTGTATGATGGTTTGCTGATGTATGTGAAAGCAAAAGAAGCAACATGCAGCCACGAGGCAGTTTGCTATCTTCGGCTTATCCTAGGCTTCAGGGATAGCCGCATAGCCCCCCATAGCCCCCCGTCGGGGTCCATGAAGATGTAAACTAAACACGTCTCGCCGTACTTTCTTCTTGTACACGGATCAGAGAAGCCCTGGAGCACCTGTAAAAACGTGGCCGGCTTCTTGAAAGAGAGATGCAGAACCGCCCAAACAAAACAGGAGAAAAGAAGAAACTTGAAGAAACACTAAACAATCTGGCCTGCTTGAAACCTATATGTTTCAAACCACATCGTTTCCAGCAAATTATTTTATAGTGCGGGGTGCTTGCATCCAAAGAATCCCGAGGATTCGAGCAAACGGCCTCGCCTTCGTGAAGCTATCGCCCAACCACTCAGCCAGCACCTCAATCAGGATCTTCCCCGCGAGGTTGAAGTACTCCGCCTCGGGATCCGTTTCGATGGGCCCGGAGTCAACCGGCGGCGAATTGGAAGACTTTCTGTCATATCGAGTGTTTGCTTCTCACCGGGATGCCTGAAGGGTTCACAAAAAGTGACAGGTTCACACCCACTAGTTTCTTGACCGGACTTCATTCGGCCCCCTGCCGAAAGTTGTTCTTTGGCGGGATATTATGATGGAAAGCCAAAAGGGGGGGAAAAGAAAAAAAGAAAAAAAAGAACCGCTGAGTCCAGTCTGGCGAAAAAAATATCCAACTCATCGCCTTCAGCCCGTAGTTCACATGGCGCATGCCCAGCTGCTGCAGCATGGGCACCAACTTACCAGTGTCCTGCCACAGCAAATGACCACATGGGGGTTGACAAAAGGTCCTTCACATGAGATGAACACTGAGGAAGACCACCAGAAACATGTCCCTCATTTTGAGAAAAACTAACCCAACATGGTGGAACATACCTTGAAATCTGCGATACCCTGTGTTTGATTCCCACGACTTTTCACAGGGAATAGAATCCCAAAGGTGTAGAAGCTGGCAGTCTAAAACCAAATGTTCACATGCAAAATAACCACGTGTGCAGTGCCGTGGTCAAGACTTCCTTCGCCACAACATGGCTCCTAACCCTGAGCAAAAGGGTGCTTTGACCATGGTACCCAAAAAGGGGGGCTCTAAAAAGCAAATTGGACCACTGTTTCCATTGGATGCAAAGGCAATTGAAAAGGAAACCTGCAGCAGGGCGGTGGAAAAATCGGCCCCTGACTGTGATATCAAAGTGATGCAGTGCTTCCCGCACGACTGTATACTTATCATCTTCAAGGGGGCGTCCCCCTTCAGTGAGTGACTTCGCTCCTTCAGTGGGGTCAATCCATGTCAGGCAACAACTCTGACTTGCATGATCCTCCAAATCGAACGGAAGGCTGCTGTAGATACGGTGGTCCAAAAACCTCCCGCGCAAGTCCATTGGAAAGCGTTATCTGCACCTGGAACTCCCAAAGGATGCAATATAACAATATAGAAGCCTCAAGGGACCTTCAGGGGGTTCGCTGGTTCTGAGCACATTATAATCCCCGGCTCTTGGAGGGATTGTGGGTGCTTGAAAACCAAGTTCAGTCATGACGAACTATTGAGCTCCTTGGCCCACCTCCGGGTGCACCAAAACTGACACTACCCCAAACATAATTTTGGCAGAGACCCCAGTTCTGTGGGTTTATCTGAAAATTGGGGAACCCAAAAATGGATCCGGCATGATCCGGCTTTCCTTTCGGCTTCCGCCTAGAACCAACCAAAAGGGGGGTGTCCCTAAAAAACAAATACCACCCCAGACAATTTATGGATATCAGCGTTTTTGGTTGATGTGTTTTCCTTGTTTGTTCTTTCTTTCTTTCTTTTTTGCGGGTTTTCCATTGAAGCCCAAAAAACAAGAGGCATTACGACCCGACGAAAGACGCGGAACGGATGCTTCCGCTTCCTCACGCCTTCCCCTGGCGTTTTCGTTCGGTCCTGGATTCCGGCCACAGCGCTGCCCACCACCGTGATGAACTTGGCCCACAGCTTCCGCAGCGCCGGGGAGTCGGTGGGATCCTGGGCCCCTTTTGTCGATCCCCAAAGTGGAACCCTGGCAAATGGGACCCAGGATGAAAGCCTGGGGTCTGGTGGTTTCATTTTGACCTCCCAAATCGCTTCGGGTTTCCTCTTCTAGGCTGTCCGGTTTCAGATCCCCTCGCCTAAAAGTTCAACTTTGAGTCAAAGGCAAAGCCTCGCTAAAGCCGAAAAACCAAAAAACTGAGGGGACGGCTGGAAACCGCCAAGTTTTGGCTTCTCTTGAAAACCACTGAAAAGGGGTAAGTTCTCCCAATAAAACGACACCCCCTCCTCGCCCTCTTCCTCGTCCGTGTCCCAGTCCTGCGAAAGCAAAGGACGAGTTATTTTTGATACTCGACCAACAACTCGAATGGAATCCCGGAAGATGCCGTCAAAAGAATCCAACATATGTTTTTTGGCAAATGGAGTTGTGACTTCATACATTTGTCATAGGGAATTCCCAGGTAAAGGGTATTCATAAAGCCCAAGCAAATACCCTTCCGCAATCCATAGTGGTGCGCCAATACAAGGGAACCCACTACAATCTGGCAGGAGGATTGATTTGGCTAAACCTATTTGGGTAAAAATGAATCCCTAAATGATGTCCTAAGGGTTTGTTTTGGGCCCATTGAAAGATTGGGACCCAGGCCAAAGTAGGGTCTTTCAGAGACTGGTGATTCACCAACTACCACAAGGGTTTACTGAAAAGCCTAGCTTTATAGGTCAAGTTAGTGGCTTGGCAACGCTTATTCACGAAGCTCCGCGACGAAAGGAGTTGGCCAGTACTAAAAAATCTTAATTGGCAACCAAAAACCATACCTCGCTTGGGCCACCAAAACCCGGAACACTCAAAGGATACCCAAACCAGGATGTTGCAGACAATGGAACAAATTTTCCTTCGAGGCGCCTCCTGTTGCTCCGCTTTTTGGGCTTCCGTGCCGGTTTGCAGAGTAAAGAAATCAAACTGTGGCCGCGCCCTGCTTCTGGCAGGGTCAATGTTGAACCCTAGACCTAGGATTTACTGTTTGTCTATTCTCATCATGTTGATACGGGGCAATTATTCAAACTATTCAAGCTGGTTACAAGTATGTAAGATTATGATGCATTCAAAAGATGTGCAAGATGCCGGATGCAAGATGTTAAAATGTGTCAACATGAATCCCCTGATGACAATTCACACCCCACTGAGGTTGGTGCAAAGTTGTTTGCCGACGGTAGAGTTTACAGTACTATTACTTGAGTTTGGTGTTTCTTGGCTTCAATTCGGTCTTGCTGGGGGAGGGTATTCGGATGTATTCGGATTTCGAAATCCCGCCCCGTGTGCCTCCACTGTTGGGTTGGGGGGAAAATCCGAGACACCGAAGCCAATTTGATTCCATATCCTTACTCCACCAAGTTCGAATCCCAGAGGGACCGAAACTGGCAACCTTCAACCCAAGTGGCAATCCTCGGAGCAAGCCGCTCCTTGTAGCGGAGGCGCACCTCGATGGGGAACAAGGCCTTGGCCGAGGGCTCCATCTTGAAGAACCTGCAGAGCGCACGCCCGCACGCGTGGAGGCTCCGGTGGACCCAAGTTCACCCTGGGTTTGGGGATGTGTTTCTCGAGGCTAATGAGATGCTTGGGGCTCTTTGGCTCCTATCAAGGTGACTCCTTTCCAAGGGAAGGAGGGGTGCTGTGGAAAAATGGTTACCACTTCCGGAGGTTGCATGAAGCAAGTAGGCATGAATGAACCTTGTAAATATATTTTTTGTTGTAGGATCACTTGCAATATGTGTTAAAGCATCTGGGAGGGAGCATCTGGAGGTGGGTGGGGGGGGTGGGGACTCGACCCCTCTGTAGCGGCAACATCTGCCAAAACATAGGTAATCAAAAGAGCTTCTTGAAATCCTCACCCGTCCACTGTGGGACTGTTCCCTACTGTATAGTCTGTAACTACCCAGGTGTTTTGTGTTGGCACATGTGGAGGGCTGATAACATCTCAGAAAGAAGCCTAGCATTGACCCCAAACAGCATACTTGTCACCTTCAAATAAAGTTTGCTCAGGGTCCCCGTGGGAACAGGTTGAGCAGCTGGCAAGATCAAAGAAAAAGTAAACATTATACTCTCTGTAGCTACTTTCTACGACCACAAAGCGACCAAACAGCACAAAATGGCGCTCAAACTTGAGGAGGATCTCTGGTTCGTCAATATCAAACCGAGCAATTGGGAGGACTGCGTTTTCCCCCCGACTTTGACAATCAGTTCAGACGGTCCTGTGAGCAACAATCAAAACCTAGCATTGAAAGGGTCGACCCAGCACCCAGTACAGAACTATGGAGGAATACTTTGAATGCGCGGACTCTGACGTTCGTCTACCCCAACCGCCACTGTGCGGAAGTGTAAAGACAAGGAGCTTCTTGTAGAAGAGGCCCCCAACGACATCCGTGCCCAGGTTCTTCACTTGCTGCCAGCTCATCTGCACCGCCGTCATTGTGTTGCCCCCTGGGGCGAAGCCCTTTCCTGGCATGCCAGGCTCTTGCGTTGAGCTGCAAAAGCGGCGAGGCGGTTCTCACAAGGTTTGGAAAAGAAGAGAGCTCCCAGTTGGTCGAATTGCGCGCTCTTCAAAGCTAGCCGCTCCCCCAAGGACAAAGCACGGGTTGTCTGACTAACCTCATACAACTCACAATCAAAACCTGTACAAGGAGTCTGCTAAGGAAAAGAATCCAACGTCTTGTAGCAAGCCACCCGAAGCCATGTCGATCATGTGAGCTAGCAACAGTACCAGAACAAACCAACAAAACCCAAACCTGAAAGGGCCCCACCCAAAACGGCCCCACCCAAAATCGAAGCCCTGGTATTCTTGGTTGCTCGTGTGCCGAAATAGGCCCCAGGAACTCAGGACCATGGAGCCGCTTCAGGGTGAGTTTGTTTCACCCCAACAAAGAGTGGCTTCCCTGTGGCTTTGAAACCAAGTTCCCGCCAAAAAAAAGAGGAAAACACCCACAGGCACGCGCACGAGGAGACAGACTGTGTTTTTGACGTCGCCTTGGAGGGTGCGCGGCGGGGCCAGCTGGGTGCCGTAGCCGGGCCCCGCGGCCTCGGCCTCCTGCAAGCGCCTGGCGGACAAAAAGGGAAGCTCGGCACCTGAGCCACAATCAAAACCGGGTATCAAAATGGTGAACCCAGAACCATGTAAAGCATTAAGAAGGCCGCTAACCTTCATCTACCCGGGTTTTGATTGTGGCTCACCTTGGTTTGGCTGGCTTGCAAAGGGAAACCAAAAGAAAAACTAAAAGAAAAACCACAGGGAAAGCCAAAGGAGAGCCAAAGGAGAACCAAAGGAGAACCAAGGGAAACCACAGTTTTTTGTTGGATCCCCTTGGTCCAACACATACCCAGGTGAGGGAGGGGGGACTGCTGATTTCGGGATTGTAAGCCAAGCAGGGAAGTGAATCCAAACCGTTTTTCTAGACCCCTGATTGCCGAGTCATGTTTGTGAGGGACCCGGTACCCTCCTGGGAGTGCCCAAGGAAATCCCCTTTTGCGATAAAGCAGCCTCGGAACCACCCACGTTCCATATTGGGTGCAGTCCACGCCCCCACCAGCTTGTCCAAAACCAAAACCAAAACATACCCCGGCTTTGGTCTTTCATCTTGAGCTCGTTGGAGTCCGCCATTTTCATGTGTTCAATCAGCACAATTTCGGGGCTTCACCGCCTCCCCGGCCTCCTGAGCTTGACAATGTGCCCGCTGGGCATACCCATGTCCCGCATGTGCTCCTCCTCCATGCCCATCAAGGTCTCCATGTCGTCGAACCCGTGGTCTTTGAAAACCTGAATCCAAATGGGTCGGAATTTGGGAGGGCACCCCTTATTGGCGAAAAAATGGAAAACCGCAAACATTTTTGGGGCTCTACATCCCAATATTCACACCTAGGACCCAAGAGAACATGCCCGTGTTTTCTGTGGGCACTGCCTTGGTGTGGTTTCAAGGGAAACCACAAGTTGAAAACTATTTTACCACCCGCCCCCCCCCCCCCCCCCCCCCGCCCCAATTTCCCCAATTTTGGCACGCACCGGCAAACCAATTTCTCGCCTCCGCATATTGAGGCATTCCAATCTCCCGCAAGAAGGCCGTGACGGGGCTCTGCTCCACCATCCGACGCCGTGTCGCAGGGCCTCTGACGGCTGGACCCATGGTGCCATCCGCAAAACCCCGGGTTTGCTTTCTTGGGGGGACCCCTAACAACGGGTGCAAAAAGGTGCCCTCAAAGACATGCACGTGATAGTGGTCAAAGGCTGCCGGGAAAAGTGAGGTTGCTGACAATTGACCTGTGGCCCCTGAAAGGGAACGCCCTGTCAAAAAGACAAATACCGGTCGTGGAGGAAATCAACACAAGTTCGTCAGGAAAGAAGCCAGCGCGTTTCAATTGCTGCTTTCACATGTTGCGGGGGGGGGGGGGGGGTGGATGGAACAATTCGGCCGTTGAAGGGCGCAATGCTGGTCGGGGTTGTGCATCGACCCTTTGTTTCACGGATACCAAAATTATCCTGGAAGAGCGAAAGCAAAAAGAGTGCTGCATCAACCACAAGTTGTTTTAAGAGAATTCCTTGCGTGTCCCCTTTGAACATCACGAATCACCCCAACAAAAAGAAGCGAGAGGCTAATGTCCCCAGCCCAGTGTGTTACCGGGAAAAGTGTTTTGCAATGATGGGAAGCAAGCAACTTTCATGGCTGTTCGAAAGCACCTTATCTGCTGTCTAGCATATACATATGTATATATACTTTATGTATTACACGTCTTTGAGTTTCGGCATGCTTCTATTGCATTCCAATTATAATTATACAATTCAAGTAGCATGTACCCCTAGGTGTCCATCTGGCTTGTAGTCGGCTGATACATATGTTCAACATGGACTTGCTTATTACCATCATACGATCTAGCATACGTATCATAATTGTGTTGGATTTGCTTGGCTTGTAAATATTTGTTTAAAGCACTTCATAGGAATAGCGCCCACCCTCCTACCCGCGAAAGGTTCCATGTTACTAGGTAGTTCTATTACTTGGCTCTGACTCGATGATGATAGTAAGCCCTGAATAACATACTACAACTGTTGGCGAAACCAAACGTTGATGGGTTTCGGGCGCAGCCACGTGCAACGGGTATTGAGTATTGAGGATGGTCATCAACCCCTGAATCCCACCATGCCAAGATAGGGAGGCATGGCCATGACCCACATGAGGACACAAAGAGTTTTGAGCATGTCACATATTGGCGACGGTCAACACAAGGAGAGTGGACACTTGTAAACATGGATCCCTAGCTTTGTTCTTATGTTTGTGTTTTTAAACATCACCATTTTGGGCCAGGTTGAACCTGACATGAGTTTTATTCTAGAAATCAATGTCCCCAGCCTCGCTTTCTTTGGGGAATTGAATAGGCAGGGATCTGCATTGTTTCGTCTGTGTTCCTCGTATTCGCATTGCTTCTAGTGACGTCACCCTACTTTTTGCAGATCTCAGGTGTGATGAATTTATAGAGACAGGGTGCCTTCACTTGCACTTTGCACAGGCGGGGTGCTTGTAGTAGAACATGCAACCACAAAAAACAGTGGACAACAACCACTGATCATAAGGCAAATGCCAGTGAAATAGGTTGGGGCGAGTTTCAGGTTTGTTTATGTTTGGCAGGGTGGTGTATCTTCGCGGTGATACTGTGGATGGACGAAATCCTGCACCACCTACGAAACCCTGGAATTATGTTTTCCCTGTAAATAGCAACGCACAATGGTTTCTTATGGTTTCAAAGTGGTGCAGGATTTCGTCCATCCACAGTATGGTGAGTAAGCCTTGTCCTGAGCACGTGCTTTTTCAATTTTCAAGTAGTCTTGTGCAACATATCCGAAGAGTGGCAAACACATTTGCTAGGATGTTGGATTCTTGTGGCTTGACTGACCTTGGTGAGAACCAGATTTTCTGGTGGTTCTTTGGCGAGCGTGCCCCATGTCATCCCTGCGCCGGCAGTAGATGACACAAAATATAGACCATTGCTTATAGGGTGCTTCTCAACATTGCGAGAAGTCCAGATTGGTGTCCACCCTTTTTACGACATCCTTTTGCCAACCCATCTTTTCACCGCCTGGGCCATTGGGCAGCGCTCGCACCGGCTTCACCCCGGGCCCATTTCCATTGCTCCCGTTACGGGCGGCACCCGTGAGCTGGCGATCCTCGAAAAAAATCAAAAGCCACAGGAGAGGCGGGGGGGCCAAACTTCCGCGTATTGACGTTTGGTTCTCCTTTTGCATTCTCTCCCAAACCTTCAAAATGGTATTCAAGAAATATGCACGCATGTGAGTGTGTGTCTGTGTGTCGAAATAGGGGGGCACGGCATTTAGTGGAGGCTTGAAAGGAAAGCTACTTAGTTAGGGGTGTATGCGCTTTGGATTTCATTTCGGTTTCCAACCCCTGAAAGCGCATGGCATCAAACAACTCAGCCCGTGTCAATCGACTCTTCCTGTAGCTCAGCAAGGCTACCACCCTTCAAAAACTCAACGGATGGTAGGTGACCTACTATAAAAATATTCTCCACCAAGAAGCCGTCAAGTGTCCCTCTAAATGGGCCCGGGTCTAGAAGCTATTTTGGAGGTGGAACGGAAACCATCTATTTGAGGAGCTTATCCCAAATTAAAAACCGGAGCTATAATCAAAATTCAGTATCCGTGGCCTTTCAAAGTTCCAATTGGGGATGTTGACAAACCACCTCTACAGGATCTTGCAGAGCCGGAGTGAGATAGCAAAGGTCAAGCCATAAGCAGCCATGCAACTGAAGTCGGTGGCTTGACTTCAAGCAAGCGAAGTAGCGTTGCACAACAAATCTAGATGACATCGTGTTTACACAGGATTCAAAACAATAAAGCAGAAGTATCCCCAAACCAATCGGCCAGGTCAAGCCGAAATGGTGGACACTTACTCCATTTTGCCATAGGGTGGTGTTTGGGTGTTGGTGCAGAACAAACTCGAAATGTCCATGGCACCGGGAGAGGGGGGGGGGTTCGGGATTGTGACACAAGCACAAGGTGGCCTTTGACTACAGAGAACCCCCATACCCCAGAAAGGAAGGCAGCGGTGTCACAGAACGTGGCAACCTGAATCCAAGTGTTCCACAACCATGCTTACAGCACTAGTTGCCCCTTAAGCCGGATCCCTTCAAAATGGGTTGCACCTTTGCAGGCTGCATGAACAAAAACCTCGTCTTCACTGCGACCACCAAACTCACTCCTGGCGGTAGCCCGACATCTCCGTTTGCAGCGACCCGAGCCGAGAACTGCGAGACGGGCACTGAAGATACTAGGGGTCCTTTTGGAAAAAGCCGTTTGGGAGACTCATCGCAGCAACCCTCAGGTAGCCATCATTTAGGTGGCAACCAATCGCTAGAACTAAAACTCACGCTGTATGGGATAAGAGCTTCGAGTGGTGGTTGTCCCCCCCGACCATGTTGGTTTGGGCTGGTGGTTTAAAAGTCCGGGAAACCAATCCAAAGAATCAACCTGACAGCTTGCCTACCAAAGGCGCCAGCTCTGGAGTACAGATGTTCTGTTGTTCTGATTCAACACTGTTTGCGGCAATGGAGTGCAGATTTTGACTTGAGGGTGTGGTTTCCTTTACTTTGGGGAGCTTCTAGAAAAAACATCTACATTCCAGAGAATTGCATAAAGCAAGTAAATTCTTGTTGGGTCGTTTTGCACAGTTCTTTGGTCCTCAGGCACCAAAAAGCCGAGGTCAAGCACACTGTGAGGTTATATGATGTGATGTGAGAGAGAGTGGATCCACACCAGCGAAGTCTTCCACAGGATCCCTAAGAAAGCCACAAAGGTGGTTTTAATGGCAGGCGCCCTGGATTTAAGCCACTTAGACTCCAACAGAAAGTTCGAATTTGGAACGGACACACAAGCCAAAAAATTGCTGAGAAGAAACCTGGCAAAAATCCGTGTGATTCGAGCGAGAGCCTGCGCCCAGGCACCTAGTCGCGCCTAAAGGGTTGCATCTTTCTTGACTGACGCTTGTTGAAATCGGAGGACCGGATTGTCCTATGAAACTATCGATTATCTCACTGCGTGAAAATAGTCTTATAGACGATGAGGTTCATGATGTTGCAATAACAATAGTCTCGTCGTCGATGAGGTCAATGGAAAAGACTCAGTGAAGATACCGGTTGGTCGGGCATATCGTGGGCCGTTTTCGGGTGTGTCGAAAGTGGGTTCGCCCTCAGGAACCGAATAAGTCATTAGGATTGGGTTGTCCATTTTTGAAGAGCCCAGCTTAACCACGTAGACATGTTGGAAACATATACGTAGCTTTTCAAGAAAGCCGTCTACAAGGATGGTCGTGAACCAGCGAATGTAGACAAGCATTGTACATGCTCCTAAGAGAACCATGGCGGCAACCCGGAGGGGGGCTATGAGTGACTTGTGTTGTTTTGGCGTAAGTAAGTACCTGGCTCTGAATTGGGAGGGAGTAAAAGAGGAAGGGGGGCAGGAGGGAATTGGTGAAGGGGGGAAGGAGGGAAGGGGCAAGGGGAAGCGCGTCTTTTTCTTCAAATGGTTCAAGGTTCAGGGGGAGACAACCTAGAATGAGCAGAATGATTGAACCACGAGCAACGACAACAACAACGGCACAAGATCCCTGGCCCCGCCTTCCAAGCGAAGTCTGGGCGAAACACAGGCTTGAGCCGGACGCAAGAGGATTAGGAACTTTAACAAGGAAGCACGTTCCAAGATCATCGAATTTTGAGAGAAGGCCTTGTCAAGGAGTAGCTCACTTCATGCAAGTCGAGTGGGCCAGCTTTCAAACTAAAGTTGTGGATATTGGAGGCTGGTGAAAGCGTGGATTGTATCTATTTGGTGCTTTCCAGGCAAAATAAGTATACTTACGAAGGAGTTTCAATCCTATTCATTCCAACTACACACGTATTGTTTTGTTTTTGGGGGTTCACCCCTTTTTGGGGCGCCTCTCCACGACGTTCCCTTTATCATAGAACCCACCAATTTGCTTTTGAGAAACACCCAATGCTTCACCACCTCCCTACAACGCAAAGGAATTGCACGATGGAAGGAAAGAGGATCATGATGATCATGAACATGAAGATGCAATTATGGAAAGATGACAGACGAATCAACACCTGGCCAAATTTTGTGATTCGGGGAGTTCCTGATGAAGGCCCTTTAAAATGGTTCCCCTTTTCCGCGATGTGAATTCAAGCAATTCGTCCTGATGGATTGGAGTTGCACGGATAAGACTTAAGAGGCTACTAAACAGGACTTGTGATGAGGCTGCAAGTAAATTCTACCTGGGATAAACATGTTTTGCCCATAGATCACGGAGGGAGGCTTTTCCGCGGATCGGCTGGAGAAACTGGCTGGACGGCAGTCTGCATGGGAAACCGCTGTTGGTTTCCCCCCTGCGCCACTTTTTCTTGCAGGCTATGATGTCAACCCCTGACAAAAAATAATTACCCGGAAAACCAGGTTTTCCTAAATGTGGGCCAGAAAGGACGGGCGGTAGGAGGTATGCCCACTCCGCATCCCACGGGCCAAAAAAAAACACATCGACTAGTGAGCTCCAAAACCTCATGGCCCAGGAACCCACGAGGGATGGCTCATACCAGGAGGCTTCAACAAATTGATGTTGGTGACTGAATTGCGAGTATCACTAGTGTTGGATTGGTGTTGCACGCAAGCATAGTCATCTCGTGAGCTCACCCTTGATGAAGATCCTCTTCTTGAACCCTTGTTTCCAGCTTGGGAGTTGAACTATGGCAGATCCCATGACATATTAGAGTACTACTTCCAGTACTGGTAGATTCCCTTTCACACCAACACGGGAAACAACACATATTCTTAAGCAAATGGAAGGCGAGGCGCCAAGCTTTTGCAAATCTACCAATCCTGGGCACATGTGCATCATGTGGACAGACTGCAGCTAGCCGACGCCAACCTGATTTATTGTGTCAGCCGCGACAGCGTCTGCGATTCGCATCCTCAGCCTCCTCCTGGCGGTCATGTTAAGAATTGCAGGCCCCGGGGAGCGCATGAAACTTGCCACACGGGAGGGGAAAGAAGTGAAGGAAGAGAAGGGAAATGGAAGCGAAGGGAAAAAAGGGAAGACAATGACAAAAACACGACGCCATCCGCCAAATTCCGATCAAGCCAAGAGGTGTGGCTAGGGATGGGGCATGCCCTGGCTTGGCTTAGTCGATGGTTCGCCTCACATCTGATGCCTTCCTTCGCTTCCATCTTGGCCTTCGGCTTCTCCTGGCAACAATTAAGCCATGTTTTTAAACCATGGCTTACGCACCCCCATGTAGCAAACTGGTGGCCAGGGTCTGCTTCCTTAACCTAAAGGCTGCCAATTCTTGTAGGCAATCGCAGCCAGGAGGATTCCACTTCAGGTTAGAGCAGCTCCCCCTTTTGGCCGACACAAGTTTCCAAACTGCCGACACTCAAACGGACATGCGCGAGTGAAATCACAACATTTTCCAACGCGAAGGAGAACCAAGCCGGAGCCAAAGAAAAAACAACCAACAAAACAAGCACGCACGCACGCACGCACGCACGCACGCACGATGCACGCACGCACGCGCGCACGATGCACGCACGCACGCGCGCACGCACGCACGCGCGCACGCACGCACGCACGCACGCGCGCACGCACGCACGCACGCACGCACGCACGCACGCACGCACGCACGCACGCACGCACGCACGCACGCACGCACGCACGCACGCACGCACGCACGCACGCTCATGCACGCACGCACGCACGCTCATGCACGCACGCACGCACGCTCATGCACGCACGCACGCACGCTCATGCACGCACGCACGCACGCTCATGCACGCACGCACGCACGCACGCACGCACGCACGCACGCACGCACGCACGCACGCACGCACGCACGCACGCACGCACGCACGCACGCACGCACGACGCACGCACGCACGCACACACACACAAAACACACACACACACACACACACACACTTGTGTCCCAGCAAAGCTGGTCGGCAGAGATTTTCTTCAAGGGTCATCAAGCAGCCAATCTTCGGGAAACTGTGGGCCAATTCGACGATCGAATTAATTATGAGCTTCGTCCCACTGGACTGTGGGAGGGATTCCCACATCCAGCTTTTCCCAGACTCTTGAAACATGCAGCGAATTACCAAAAGCGGCAGAGGCAAAATTCTTGGAAACAGGAAGGGACACGCACACGACCCGCCGAAGCGGTCGGCTTGACTGGCTTCGGTCTTGTGACTTGAAAAAGGAGTTCATCAAGAACTTGTTGGCCCATGTGGCCGCGCCGGAAAAGACAGGAACACACACACACACACACACACACACACACACACGCGAGCACGCACACGCTGGCAACCAGACACAGGCACAAACACAAATATAAACACACACACACACACATAACAAAGGAATACATACAAACATTCACATAACCACAATTACAGGCACACACACACTAACAGTAACATCACCACACACACACACACACTCGCACACATAGGCATCACCACATGCACACAGAAACGCACATACACGCACACATCTAGAATTTATCACCTTCGAGTACTGGAAATCAGGATTAGTAATCAGTCTCTGGTATTTGTTCATGTCTTAATTCTCTTAACTTTCGGACACCAATTCTACATTTGAGTCCCGTTTTCTTTTATTAAGGACTATATTGTTATTTGATTTTCCCTTTCTTGAGTACGGCTTTCATGTTTGTATTCTCATTGCCTGTCTTACCTGGTACAAATCTTTTGGTGCTGGGTGATCTTCATTCTGGTACACTTTCGTTTGGTCCAATATTGGGAGGATGTCTTCTACTCTATCAATATTGATTATTTACATCAAAATAGTTCTTGCATTTGGGATCATTTCCATAGAGGTAACCTTCGCTCAGCAATCAATGATCTTTGCCACGGCATCCATGTCTCTTCTTGGAATTCTTGTTTGGGTACTGCAGGTTTCGAAAGTGATGCGCGAGCCTGTTTTACAGGAGTTACAGGGTTCATATCGTTACTAACTGGTACAAAGACCTTTAGTTGGCGTTTACATTACTTTCACGTATCTCGGCAATCCATCTTTATTTCACCTTAGAATTACTTCTGTCTTCTTCTGTCTCTTTGTAGTAACGACTACTATCGGTCGGCCAACAGGAATTAGTCTGGGAATGCATTTCACATACAGTAGTATTATGGTGTAGCACATGTTCATTTTGTTCTTTCTCTTGGAGCCTGCTATCTTCTCTGGAATACTTTCCACGGGGAAGACATCCCGTGGATCAGGAATAACTGTTATATATTGTTCATGTTATTTGCCTTTATCGTACTTATTTTCTATCCCTCTTTCACGTTACTTGTCTAGCTTGGGGGCATGTTCTTGACAGCACAGAACCTTCTACTTGGGATCTTCTTCATGTCCTGTCTCGATTTACTTTGTTGACGTCCTAATGGTTGCACAAGTACATGCACACATATACACAGATACACACACACACAAATGTCACAAACACACACACACACACACACAGGGACATAGAGGTCTACAAACACACACAGACACAGAAAAGCAAAACGCCGGGTAAGAAGGAGATGCAACAACACAACATACTCATACACACATGCTGACAGACAAACACGACAACAGGGACGCAAAAGAGACACCGACTCAGAAGCTTAAAGGCGCAAAGACACACAAACACAGAGACACCCGTGCAAAGAGCAAAACAGACGCAGGAGCCAAAGAGACAGGAACGCAGCCAAACAGAGAGGCACAACCTGCAAAACCCGCAACGCAAAACACAGACACACACGCAAACGCGCAGACACACATACACACACAAAGAAGCCACCATGCCTACATGCCAACTTGCCAGCACAAGCACACATAAGGACAAAACACTTTTGGTTGAAGAGTTTTGCAGCCTTTCCCTATGTAGCCCAGTTGCCCAGTGACCCTGGTAGAAACACAGTTGGAACCCTGTCTGGGGTTGACCATTTTTTATCCAAGAACCCGCCAAACAAAAGGGAAAGGTAAACAAGGATGGAACAAGCTTTTTTGCACGGCAAATTAGCTGTTATGTTTATTGCACGGAATAGGCTGAGTCTCACGGTGCAACTTGTTTGCGCACGTTTCTCTGCGCAAGCTTCTGCCAGCAACATCTCTGAGCAATGCGACTACCTCTTGCGCAAAAGAATTGACACGCGTACTCTCTGAACTCAAGATTCACAATTGCCCAGGAAGCGTTCTCCAAAACCTTGACTCCAGAAAAAGGGCCGTAGCGTCAGTTTAAGACTGCAGTGTGGAGTGTAAGAGGCCACTTTACTCTGGTTTGGACATAGAGCAGTTCCATTACAACAACAAGAGAAAACAAGCGTTCCAAGCAAGATACAGACATGCCAGAAAGGGACCAACCAAGCACATTTGAACAAAAAGGAAATCCATCTTTCTAAACAAAAAGGAAAGCACCTATCCAAAATTCAATATCACAATTGCCCAGGAAAGCTTTGTTCAGAACCCTGACTCCAGAAGACGGAGGAAAATCAAAATTTAGGCTTGCCCATGCAAATGGTTGTGAAACTTGTTTGTCAACTTGCCCCCTGAAGTGTCTAAACGTCTTAATACAGTACTTAGATCCAAAATGCAGGAATTCTGCGGCA